GTCTGGCTGGACACACAAAGCGGTAGCACCTTACTTTTTCTGTGGGTGGAAGATGTCCACAAGCCAAGGCTCATGTTGTGTTCCCAGTGCTTCTTGTCACCGTGGACTCTGCTGTCTTTGGGAGGCCTTTTGTAAAAGGCCTGCTGTGGATCCTGTGGTAACAGAGAAGGGACTGTGATGTTTTAACCTCTCGCTCCTGTTAATGGAATTGCATTGTCCCCTCATGAACATTTCTTGTCTGGTACCTCCCTTAGCCATTTCCCCTTTGCTCTTCAAAAAGCAAGGTGTCTACCTCAAACCCTTCAGTGGTCTCAGTGTGAGAGCCAAGGAAGCTGCTTCCACCGCTGCTGCAGGAGAGTGAATCACCCCGGGTACTTACATGTGTGTGTGTGCATTTGTGCACACATGTCCACACCACTACCCCCTTCCAGCCCCAAATTTTACATTGGCCACATTAGCTTCCTCTCCCCACCCAAACAGTTGTCAGTGGAATGTAGAAGGCTAAGAAGAAAGGGCCTTGGAACTAGTCCTCCCCCGGACAGGGGTTGATGTCTGTGCAGCATGTAGGAAGGATCTTGGGTCTACACCTTAGTCTGTCTTGGATGAGGGGCTCCTGGGGAGAGATAGGGAAGTGGTTGTTGGGTTGGAAGGCCCTTCGTGCTGCTGTTTTGCTTAATTAATTTTAGCCAGTATTGAACTGCATGTATTTTCTTAACTATTCCACCTTGTTTAAAGTATCTATTCCTTTTGCTTATGTTCCTGTATCTGCCTAGAATGTTCTTTCTTTCCTTTTACTAGTTGGTGCCTACTTATTATATTAGATTAAACCCACGTTTCACCTCTCCCAAGGAGGACATGGGAGGACTAGACGAAGTGCTGGAACAATGCTCAGCACATAGTAAACACCATATAAAACAGCTGCTGCTTTTCCTAGGACTACTACCCCCATGCCCAGCCCTAGGCAAGGCTGGATTGGGTGTCCTTTCCCCAAGTGTTGTTGTTGTTAGGTGCTCACCTCACGTGTTTCCCCATGTGGACCATTCCATTGTGCCTTGGTACAGGGCCTGGTACTCAAATGCTCCTCGTGTGTTAGGCTAGACTAAAAGGCAAGGGGCAGGAGAGGCAACAGTGGCTAGTTTGTGGTAGTCTCATGTGGAGAGGTTTAGAATGAAGATGTGGTCTGCAGTCTCATGTGGCTGGTTTGTGTGTGTATGTGTGTACATGTGTATATATATGCACCTGCGTATTTGTAAGAAATGCTCATTTTGTGAGAACAATGCAGTTTGTGTCATTTCTGCTTCTCCTTTTGCTTTCTTATTTCTGATTTTTGATTAGAATATATAATATATGTAGAATATATAGTTAAAGTTTGAATTTTCCACATAAATAAATACTGCTACCCAGCATGGCTGAGTAAGCCCTGTAGCTTTGTTTGCTCCTAGACTGTTCAGTGTGGTTGGGAGTATGAAGTTTCATGGAGCGTGGCAGACCTGGGTTTAAAGAAGGATATTTTCCCTAAGAGAGATGTTGACACCCCCATTTTACAAATGTGGAGAACTAGGGCTCAGAAAAGTTGAACTCGTGAACATAGAGCTAGTAAGTAAGTGACAGCACCAGGATTGAACACTAGCACTGCCTGACCATGAAGCTCGTTCTGTTAACGGTCTTCTCCTGTTTTCCTGCTTATTTCCTATATACCCATAGGCAAGCTATTTCTTTTTCTTTTTTTTTTTTTTTAACTTTTTAGGGCTTTGGTTTCTCAAATTAGGATGAGGGGAGCAAAATTCACCTTGTAGTTATCATAAGAAAGAGAGGAGATAAGAAACCAAACTCATAGCTGGAATGGTAGTAGTCCTAGGAAAAGCAGCAGCTGTTTTATATGGTGTTTACCATGTGCATTGTTCCAGCACTTTGTCTAGGCTGTCTCACATAACCATCTCCCCATTGTCAGGCTAAGGAATAGCATGACAGTTGTTATTCCCTTTGTATAATTGAGGAACAAATAAGGGACAGCTGGTGTCACACCCCAGAAGTCTGGTTTCAGTGTCCATAGTGAACCCCTATGCTTGGTTATCTCTCAGGAAATGTTAGTTCCCAACTCCATGCTGTTCTAGAACCTGACATCCATATGAAAGAGACCATAAGGAACCCACAGTGATAATAGGGGCTATACTAAACCACAGAAGATAAGCAGTGATGGAGTGTCTGGAACACTCATGATTCTGTGACTTGGCCACTGGCTGATGATACAGTCCATTTGTTATTTTTTGGTGATTAAGTGCATATGATGATGACCCATGATACGTCTTTCTTTGGGTTTGGGGACATTAGCTTACTGGTTCACTCATTGAAGTCTATGGCAGCACTGTCTCCCTTTACCAAAGCCTACAGCGTTCAGTGTTTCTTACCCTATTGGCACCTGAGTCCATACTGATATAAATAAATGTTGAATATATAAATGAGGGAGAAGGGACAGATCTTCCTCACAGAAGAATTCCAAATAATGAATGTAGATGTAAAGAGGAAAATGGAAAACCACTATTAGAACACCATAGTAATAATTCCTCCTGGTAAGATCAACTAATGAATGTTAAAACGAGTGGGTAAATTTTAAGAAACTGGATACTTGCATTCTCAAAGCCTCACAGTTCCCTACCACCCCAAATATTTGCATGTGATTTTGACATATGTCCAGAAATTCTTTGATGCCCCTCTCTCAGGAAATAGTGTTTAATTCTCTTCCCCTTGAATGTGGGCTGGGCTTAGTGATTTGCTTCTAAAATATGGAAAGGGGAAAATAGTAATTTTACAGTGGAGAAATCTGGCAGACACCACTTTAAATAAGTGATGAAGGTTAACATCACCAGTAGTAAGTCATGTTGATAGCATGTATCCTGATAAGATGTGATGAGAAGGAAGGACACTTTACTTCTGTGGTATTCTTTCCCTGCAAAGCATAACTCCAGTCTGATCATGAGAAAACATCAGATGCTCAAATTAGGGGACAGTCTACAAAACACCTGACCAGTACTTTTAAAAAAACTGTCGAGGTCATGAAAGACAAGAATAGACTGAGAAACTGCCACAGTTTAGAGAGACTGAGACATGAGCACTAGATGCAACATGATATCCTGGATGGAATCCTGTAGCAGAAAAAGGACATTAGTGGAAAACTGGTGAAATCCAAATAAAGTTTAAAGTTTAGTTAAAAACATGGGGTGCCTGTGTGGTGTGGTTGGTTGAGCGTCCAACTCTTGACTTCGGCTCAGGTTGTGATCTTGGGGTCATGGGATCGAACCCCACATCAGGCTCTGTGCTCAGCATGGAGTCTGCTTGAGATTCTCTCTCCCTCTCCCTCTGCCCACCCCCCACTCGTGCTCTCTATCTCTCTCTCTAAAATAAATAAGCAAATCTTTAAAGTTTAGTTAAAAACAAACAAAAATCATCCCACCAAAACCCTAGGCTTCCTGAGTCCTTCCTGCCTGAGAGCGAAGTGGCATTGATCAGTCCATCTCAGTTATAGCATTTATATTCTAGCTTTACATTGCTTTTACCTTTGGGAAAGACTTTTTGGTTGTGTACTTCTTGTATCTGGGAGGCTCTGGTGGATTTGGAGACAGGCTTATGATTTATGTGACTGTCAAAGCCTGCCCATCACATAAACAGAATGCTGCTCGGCAGGCTGCGAAAGAGGGGTGTGCACTCGGACCCTGCTTTTCCAACCCCAGTCCTTGCCGGTGTTTGATGACACAAATGACATTCCCTCCACCAGGAATTTCCTCCTTTTTCCCCCTCCTCAAGGCAGTACGTTTAGACATTCTCACCTTTCAAGGCTTCACTTATATTTTACCTCTCATATAATTCCTTGTGTGATCACACCACAAAGTAATGTTTCATATTACAGGAAATTTCATATTCCTGTGACCCTAAGGCAATTATTCTTTTTTTTTTTAAAGATTTTATTTATTTGACAGAGCACAAGCAGAGGGAGAGAGAGGGAGAAGCAGGTTCCCTACTGAGCAAGGAGCCCGATATGGGACTCGATCCCAGGACCCCGGGATCATGACCTGGGCCGAAGGCAGCCGCTTAACCGACTGAGCCACCCAGGCGTCCCTAAGGCAATTATTCTTGATTTAGCGAATTATCTCTGGCTGGAAAAATGATGTCTTATATTTTTAAGTTCTTTAGGTCAGTTAGCCTGCCCTTCCTGTGGTCTTTAGCACACCTTGTTTTATTGTGTCTAGAAAACAAACAAGCTCCTTGCAAGGAAGAAGTCTTAAAAACATCCCTTGAAGCATCTTGGACAGTGTTTGCCGTGTTGTAGGCCCTCATTGAATGGCCAGTGAATCAAAGGAGTGAACACTTTAAAACACTGAAAGGAGGGATATTCCCCTTGTTGGCAGATGAGACACAAGTGAGTGTGAGCTGTATTTGGAAACCTGTTTTCCCTTTCAGAACATTCTGAGGCCATGAAGCTTCCTCACTCTCCTCAGAGTGCTAAATTATAGCAAGAGTGATGGCTGTCATTTGTTGTGAGCCTACTCTGAAGCAGGCTTGGTTCTAGACATGCACACTATTTAGTCCTCATAACAACTCTGAAATGTAGGCATCACTGTTCTCATTTTATAAATCAGTCTACTGAGATTCAGAGAGCTGTAAGTCACTTGCCTTAGCTTACCAGCTAATAAGTTGCTGAATTGAGATTGGAATGCAGGTGTGCCTGGCGTCAAAACCCACTTTTCGGGACGCCTGGGTGGCTCAGTCATTAAGTGTCTGCCTTCGGCTCAGGTCATGATCCCAGAGTCCTGGGATGGAGCCCCGCATCGGGCTCCCCGCTCAGCAGGGAGCCTGCTTCTCCCTCTCCCTCTGCCTGCTGCTCTGCCTACTTGTGCTCTCTATCTCTCCGTCAAATAAATAAATAAAATTAAAAAAAACAAACAAACCCACTTTTCTCCCTGTAAAGGTCAGTCCCTGGCACCTCTCTCCCCTTGTCTTTTCAGACCCATCCCTGGAAGACATGTGTGGCACTGAGTGTGCCCAGCTGGAGGAAGATGGGCAGCGGCCACCGCGGTGCACTTCAACTACCTCATCTCAGTCTGAGCCTTCAGAGCAGCTTAGGCGCCACCAAGGCAAGAGCCTAGCCTCCGAGGACCCCAAAAAGAAGAGAGCTCAGAAGCCCTCCCACATGAGGAGAAACATACGGTGAGCTGTGCTCAGGGTGAGAGGAGAAGGGAAGGAGTAGAGGTATTACCTTCACTTGAAGGCTGTCAGTAGCAGGACTGGTTTGAGCAGGGGAGTCTCCTTTCCAAAGAAGAAAAGTGTAAGCAGTGTGCCCCGATTAACAGTGGAGGTGCAGCTCAGGATCACCTCAGGCTGTCAGAGGTTGTGGGGCAAACGTGGCAGGCGCTCAGGCTGTGCTGCGGAGTCTCCTACTCTCTGGAGGCCCTGGGGGCAGCCCAAGGATGATAGGTTGTTCTGGTTGGACTCTGTTTTTTCCTTTATTTTTCCCTTAGGTTTCAAAACAGGAGGAGATAAAAGAAGTTGAATTCTCATTTTCTTTAGAGCTCAACTTTGGTTGGCAGGGGACTGTCTGGTCCAAAGCAGGGCTTTTTCCTTGAGCTAAGTGAATGGCAGATGTGAGCTTCCTTAACTGTCCAAATCCCCCACAACCCTTCCTTCTGTTACAGCCCTTCTTTTGCTATTGAAAGGAGATCAATGTGGGGTGCCTGGGTGGCTCAGTCATTAAGCGTCTGCCTTCAGCTCAGGTCATGATCCCAGGGTTATGGGATCGAGCCGCACATCGGGCTTCCTGCTCAGTGGGAAGCCTGCTTCTCCCTGTCCCACTCCCCCTGCTTGTATTCCCTCTCTTGCTGTGTCTCTCTGTCAAA